GTGCAGAGAAAAGGGGGGAGAACCCTAAAAAAACAGAGCTCTAAGTTTTGTGAAGTCTAGAGGTGACAAAAGCGAAGTGAACCCCAGGCGTCCTGCTGGATTTCCCCTCCTCCTCCTCTCAGTGCTCTCATTTTGTTTAATATAAATATTTCACGGCAGTGCACTGTAGAAGGCAACGTGTCTCAAAGTAGTATTTTGACTCTTCTGCAGCAAATTGTCTACATGAAAACTTCATTTTCTTTTTTGAGCATGTCGGCCTGAGTACATGTCAGTTTAATATATGTTTAAGTAAAAATAGGAAGCAATTAAAAAGCACCAGGCATGTGAAAAAAACCACAGTTCCTTTGAAAAAACATACAGTTCTATAATGCAGTCGTTACCGTATCCTTACAGTTGTATAAAATTTATGCAGCATCACCTAAGCTAACCCTAAATAAAATGGGACGAAGGGGAAATTATTTTCCTCTTTAGGTGGTTTGTTTAGTCTGGTATATATTTGTGTTTTCTTCTTTTAATCCTCAACTCGTAAACAAAAGAGCAGAAAGAATAGCAACTTCTTTTTACAAGTATTCCAAAGCATATTACTTAGGGCATTACATTTTAAATGGGTCAGATAAATTAACTAGCTGTATCCCTTTAAATATAATTAGTAAAAAATGAAGAAACCTAAATTCTGAGGAGTATTTTAGGTTTATTATGTCGCTGCGTTGATTCCTAAATTAGACCCGCTTGAAAGAAAACTCTTTAGGTAAAGGCATGGGTTCGTTTTCATGGTCAGGATTACAGATTAGCAATTAATCCAGAAAGCATTACAAATTTACACCTAAAGATCATACAAGAAATATTTAAAGTATGTTCTTATTTAATGGCATATTCACAAGGTATTATTGGTCATTTAATGCTCCTGTTTCAATGCTTGTTAAATTCTTAGCAGGCTTCATCACTAGGTTTGTCTTTAGAAATAAGGAAAGAAAGGGGAATATTTTGCGCAGACCTTGCAGGCAAGTTACTTTTTCTTTTTTCTGATTCTCTGGGGTCTCTAACTATTGGGTGTGTGAAATTTTTGGATGGCATCTAAAGGATTAATACACATTTTATTTCTGAAGTGACACGTTGCTAATACAGAGTAATTCGGTATGAAAATAGGAGCTATAAAAGATGTGTGTGTCTGTATATATATTTACAGATATATATAGGAAGATGTAAGTAGATGTAAATACAGATGGGAAGCATAAACTATTGAGTCATCTCAGACAGCATTTCCAGTTAAATCCTCCATGGCTGGGGTAACTGGGGCAAAAATCCTTAGATTACTATAAAATTACATTAGCTAAACGTCCCCCTGATAGAACCAGTTTTAGGGTAAGGGGCATAAACAGCGACCGGTGGGTTTAAAGCCGGGGGGTTCCCCGGCCACGCCGCTGCGCGGGATCGCCACGGCCGAGCGTCGGCGGGGGGGAGCTGCTGGCAGGGATGGTAATTGTCACTGCTGCTGGAATCGCCTTTTTGTAAAAAAAAAAAAAAAACAGCCTCAACAAGCCCCGATCCAAGATGTAGTGTATTTTTTTCACTCTTAACACGGTAAAAAGACTTGCTGTGCAACGAGTTAGTATTGATTTTTTTTTTTTTTTTGTCTGTAGCCTCTTAGCTTTCTGACTCCATTATTTTTGATTTTACTATGAAATACATATCCTTTCTACTGACATCTGACAAACAGCATATGGAAGTTGTTTTATCTACCAATAATGTGTTTGTCAAAAAAGTCATACGCTAATGGGTTCTGCTTCCTCCAGTCCATTTTCCCCAAGTTAATGTCACTGATGTAATTCTAAACATTTAGTGATTTTTGCCCCCTTAATAATTTGTCATTCCCATAGGTTTGTGTAAGATGCTATAACAGGCAGGGCACTGACCGTAGCTGTTGTGAATTAAGAGTTGAGCAACTTGATTTTAAATCTCGGTTCACCTGCCTTTCTCTGATACCGGCTCCGGACGCACACTGAGCATTCCTTCACTCGCCCTCAGGCCAGATGCGCCCAAGGGCACGATGAACGATGATTCCCCCTCCCTAGCAGGGCGTTAGTGTACTTGCTTTTGTGCTTCCTATGGGGTCCTTTGGAATCTTTTTTTTAAAAACAAAGACTTTCCCAAGGCAACGGAACTTTAAAACATGAGCTCAATCGGAAGCAAGTGTTCTTTTTTTTCCCTTCTAAATTCGAAAGAATCGGGCTTGAAGATGCGCTCGCGCCCTTTGCTGCAGTGCAGCTCTTGTCCTGGCCCTTGCCAAAGCTGAGGCGTTACCGAGGCTCCCCCGGAGCCCCCCCAGGGGTGTGCAAGGCCCCAGCACGTCCCGGGCCGCCTCCCTCCCGGTGATCACCCCTCTCCCTGCAGCCGAGGCCGCCCCACACCTCACCCCCTCCGCAGCTGCAGACCCCCCCCCATGGCTCCCTCCCCCCCAAGGGAGATGGGGGGGGGGGGGGGGTCCCACAACCCTCGTGCTCGGCTCCGGTGAAGTTATTTAAAACGTCGGGTCCCAGTTCCCCGTGCGACGCGGGCGGAGCGCGGTGCGCGGGTACCCGGCTGCGGCACTCGCTGCCTTCGGCTCCCCGCGCGTCTGGGACACGCGTGCCCCTGATTTTACCGTGCCTCATATCCAGAGGGACTGAACAATATCCCCCCCGAAGGATTTTTAAGCAACGAGGCAGCTTCTTTTTGCGGCTTGGAAGTTCCATCTCTTCCTCTCTTTTTTTTTCCTGCCTTACCTGTTCTGTAAACGCTGCTCACAGCAAAAACTCGACGCTACTCCCTGAGACAGCGCCTCGGCCATTCAGGCCGGCCCCACTGTACTATGTGTACAGTAAAGGGGTTTCACAAGGAAATAAGGTGGAGATAAATTGGCAAATTGTAAACAAAAGCATGCAGTTAGCAGAATGAATTCAAGATTTGCTTGTCACAGGCGCCGAAGTAGGTAAGGAAGATCAACTGAGCTGTGAATCTGAAGGAGCAGAAAATGAAACGGAGTAAAGCAAAGACTTTAGTGTCAGGTGGGCTGGAAGGAACAAGCCACACTACCCAGGACTCAGAACAAAACAGTTTTGCGGTAGAACCTCTTGGTGAAGAATTCAGTTGTGAATTTAGCGTGTGCATGTCCATTCCAGGAATATTTCTGAGCTGCCATTAGTTTATTTGCTCATCTGAAGCTCCACTTACTTGTCATTAGTAGAATGACATGAGTTTTTGGTGGCTGGTCACTGCAAAAGGATGTGAGTTACTTTTTTTTTTTTTTTTTTTGGCTTGTGCAAAATAAAAACTATTTTGCAGTGTCATGTGTATTTGGAGATGAATTTGGATTCAGAATTTTCTGTACAGGGAAAGAATTTGGTCCTTCTGAGTTTCTGAATAATTCTGCAAGCTCTTTTGGTCTGCAAGCACTTTTCCTGACTTGAAATAGACGTTGGTTCCTTTAGAACAAGAAATGTAATCTTTTGTACGTACGTATGTATGTACTGTGAACATATTGCTCGTCTGTTTACCTTCGTGGTTTGTGCAGTGTTTAAAGTATTCTTGTGCATTCGTGAAATATTTGATCAAGCTTCGGGTACCTGAAAAAATAGCACTGCGTTACCCTAGGCTGGTTCTCCCTCATCTTGGTGGCAATCTCCTCCTCGCTCGAGGCCACGGTGCTGTGAGCCGTGAGCTCACCTCCGGGCTACCAGCTCCCTCAGCCGCGGGCGCGGGAAGCAGCTGCACTTTCTTTCAAGGCATCTAGAAAAAGAGTTTCTGTTGGTGGTGCGGGCAGACCGCCGGCCTCCGAACGCTGCCCGCTGCAGATACACCCGCTCTGACATCACCCCCCCCCCCCCCCCCCGGTACAAAAACCTTTTCAAACCGGGTTTGAGCGAGGAGGGAGTTTGTTCCGGCTCAGCCGGAACAGTTTCGGGGGCGATGTCCTGTTTTGCTGGGCAGTGGTACAAGCACCAGCCTTCACCTTAGAAGCGAGCCGACTGAATCGCTCGGCTTCGGCGAAAGGAGCCGCGGCCAGGCTGCACAACAGGCCCAGGGCGGGGGGGGAGAGAGGGAAGTGGGACCGTAAAAAATCAGTAGTTTGATTTTTAAAAAGCAATATATCTGGCATTACGAATGCTCGTCGCTTCCTACCAGTCTAAGCCATCCAGGAAATCGTCCGGGTGCCGGGCCCACCTGGCAGAACCCCGGTTACGTGTTTCGTGCAGCTCAGAGCGAGGTCGGCAGGAGCTGCTCTTCTTCACCGTCACGTCCCCGGGAGCTGCATTCGCTTCGTCAAAATAAAATCTCAGCCTGGGATTCAAAATCGCCTTGTGAAATACACGTGCGGTGTAAGGCCTCACCGTGCAATAAAGAAACGATTTTGCTGATTGGGTTAAACAATTAAATTTGATTTTGTCACCTGAGCATTGTATGAGCACACGGTATTTAGTGTGTATGTTAGGAATATTTTCTTACCAGATTCGAAGATTTATTTATTTTTTTGTCAAATTCATCTAACAGTGTAACTCTTAATGCCAAACTAGTCGCGTAGCTTGTCACGAGGAGAACACAGGTGATGGCCCATCTCCCGGGACATCTGCGGCTGAGGCCAAATTCACCTCCATACGAGCAGAAGTAGTTTTACTGCTGCATACAGATGGTACTCCACCGAGTTGTCTGCACTGTCCCCGAATCCGTAACTGCTCCAGGAAATCCTCATGCCATAAATGTAGCAGTTATCCTGCAAGGACATCTCTAGCAAATTCTTAAGTTACCATCTTGAGTGATATCATGCCTTGAACAATAATGGCCAACTCACCAAAGTTATTTTTACTACCGAGAGTTTGTGTTTGTAACACAGAATTTTAGGTTGCATTACAAGTGGGTTTTTTCGGGTACGTACTGTTGTAAAATATACTCAAGGCATTGCTTAGGCACGGCATTTGTCGTAGGCTTACACTAATGTCTACTGACACTACACCTTCTCTTTGTAGACCAAGCCACCCTAGTAGAGCAAGTGAAACGAGTAAAAGAAATTGAAGCTATTGAAAGTGACTCCTTTGTTCCACAGACGTTCAGATCAAGTAAAGAAGTCAAAAAGGTAAGTTTTCAATATCCTTTCTTGGTGCATAATCCTTTCAAAGTCGGGTGGAAGCTGCGCTATTAATACAGATTCCGTTGATGAAAGAGCATCAATGTTGACAATTTTCAATCCCACCAATGACTCTCCCATGTTCTTGGTGTGGTGTTCAAACAAGAACGCATTTAAATGTGTAAGAATGTCAACGAAATCAGCTCTTTTGACAGTATATCCTACCTATGCTAAGCAACTCCGATTTTTAAAAGTTCTCTTAGAATCATATAAAACCATTAAGATTTTTTTTTTTAGAAAAAGGAGAATTAAAATCCTGAAGTAATCAGACATTTACATTGTAATGAAAGGTAGAGATCAGTATTTTTAATGCTGCTTAACTGGAGCCAGACTTTAAGACCATATTTACTGCCTGAAACAAACCAGCATTCTTTTCAGGATCCTTTCCAAAAACCTAACGTGAGACGTCCAGGTTTCAGAATTTTGCCTGGAATTTGGCTGCCAAGTCTTCTAGGGAACTCGGACGCTTTGCTCTTTGAAAGTATGCAAGCAAAGGTTTCGTTCAGTTTTTCCACCTGACAGTGAAGTGGTTTGAGTTATCACTCTCCGTTTCCCTCAGAAGGTGCATTTTCTTGCCTTTTCAGAAGTCCCCGCAGCTTCTTCAGGCCGCGATCCGAATCCCCGAAGCTGTGCTTCTGCACGCTCTCTCCTTGCCTTTGGCAATGCCTTTTTTTTTTCACTCTGGGTGTTTAGTCTGGACCTTAGTCCTTGCCCCGCACATCCCGCCGAGCACGCTGAGAAGTTTTTGCATGAGGATCCTTTCGAGGGCACGTGCTGCAACGGGAAGGAAGCTGAGTGCTCGGTTAAGGAGTTGAGGAGTCTGAGGGTAAACCACTCAGATGTGCGTGTTTCTTTTCAGTCAGTAGAGCCTGCTGAACTACCGTACGAACCTGTAACTGTCGCAGCGGGAAGTGTTGATGCATCTGCTCCTGAAAAAGAACCACCACCTGCCAATATTCCCACTGCCATCAAATATCAAGATGATAATTCTTTAGCACATCCAAACGTAAGTGTGCCGGCGTTTATTTTTAGAACAAGACAGGTTCACGTGACCTTACGACCATTTTGCTGCGCTGCTGATCGAATAATCTGTGGTCTGAAGAGCGCGGGGTAACGGGCCTCTCGTTGGCTCAGAAAGGCTCACTCATCCAACAGAGGATAATTACAAAGGAAGTAGTTCACCAGTGATGTAGCTTTAGAGTTGCAAACAAATTTTATAAGAAAGCCGCATACTAATTTAATTTAATTTAATGCAGGGGAATTTAAGATCCCGTTCGTATAAAAATTCCCGTTCAATAAAATTCCAGGAAAATTTGCTTTTGGTTTCTGTAGTTGGAAACCTGGTGGAAGACTCAGAACTTGCCCCCCCTCGCCAAACTGTAAAACTTTCAATACGTGACAAACTAATTTTAAAGCGTTGCAGCTGAACTTACGCAAATTCCTTTGTGAGCACTTGGAAACAGGAGTTCTTACAGTAGAGTTGTTTTAAGGCTTAGCAAGTTAAAAATGACTTGCACTAAATAAACTAATGTGAGTTCCGTGTAACAAACATAGCCAACAAAGGTCAAGACCCGTACGCTCTGACGAGCTTGCTGTTTCAGGAGGAAACTGAAATTGGACGGTCTTGGCTTTCCAATTACTAAGTCTCTACCTTTACTAATGAATTTACATCACTTTTGTATTTTAACACCCCTGGGCAGCTGGGCTTTTTCTTTGGGCACTGAAATAGTCGACGGGTATTTCAGCAGGTTGTTACAAAGAGGAAGTTAATGAGTCGTGCCTACTTCTCCTCCTCTCCCCCTTGCCCCTCAGCTGTTTATCGAGAAGGCAGAAGCAGAAGAGAAGTGGTTTCAGAGGCTGATTGCTCTTCGGCAGGAAAGGCTGATGGGCAGTCCGGTGGCCTGAGCGAACTGCTGGGACCAGCACACACCAGTTCTCCACGAATGCTAAGAAATCCTACCATTAAATCATTTTATTTTTCTCTTTTGAGGGGATTTTAATACTCAGTGTGAGTTGTACAGAGAATAAATATTTCGTTTGAATAAACAAGAACGTTCTACCCTCTGTTTTTCTCCCGAACTCACTGCTGGCTGACTTGCATTGCTGAGCTGCCCGCCGTAGATGGGAAGGCCGTGAGAGCAGTGTCGTTTCCTTGGGTTTGTACTGAATTCCTCTGGGGTGCAAAGAGTCCGACAGCCCAAGGAGGCGTAATTTAAAGCAGTTTAAAGATAAATGAAAAAAAAAAACAAGGCTGTCAGAGAAAGTTCAGAGTTCTCAGCACTCGGACAGGGGAGGAGTGCAGGCGGTACCAGCCCGGGCCATCCCGTGTGCCGCAGCTGGGGCAGCGATGCCGCGGGTGTCTCCTTCCTTCCCTCCCGCGTCGCGGGAGCAGCCTCTGGATCCCGGGCGGCTCCTCAGTCGCTGCCTCCCCCCGCCTGCTCCTGCCTTCGCCTGCTTCCTCGCTCCCCGTGGCCTTCGGGGGAAAGAAGGGTTTTACGTGTCCTTGGCCGTCTACCCACCACTGTTGGCATCCAGGAGTAGATGTAAGGAAAAGGTTGCGCCGTCCTTTTAAACAAAATTGCAGAGTTTTCAGCAGGTTTCAAGAAATGTTATTTTCTGAGCAATTTTGAGCACGTTAAGACGTTCGATAATCTGGAAGCGACAGCTTTCTGTGAGTTCTGAGTGGGAAATAATAGAAATATTTTTGTGCGTAGTGGTACAGACGCTTGTTGAACAAAGCTAATGGCGTCCCTGTTTCTGCACAGAGCAACTCTTCCATCTGTGATGCTTCCATTTGTCTAGGTATGACTTTAAAATAACGAAAGATTAGCCCTATTTGAACATATCCAGTTTAGCCCAAGTATGCTTACAGAAAAAATCTGTCCATCATCCTAAATGCCAGAGATCGACCCAAAAAAAAAATACAAAAGTATTTCTTCTGAGGTATCTAGCAAAGCTGTGAGAAAACTACTACGTCAGTAAAGGACTAAACTGAGCCCCCACCTCTGGACATACCTCACTGGAAATTACCTGCATCACCTTTCCCATGTGAATGAAAAAATTCATAATTCATAAGGGCGGTTTTTTTCGTGTTATTTTTCCTTGTTCTCAGATCTGTGGTGAAAAAAAAAAAAAAAAAAAAGGAAAATGATTCTTCTGGAAATGTACTTTGGTTGTCTTTTTTTTTAGATCACTGATGTAAAGGGAAAATGTATGAAATTTGCATTCTAACACGTTTTTACTTTTTCTTTATGAACAGTGTTAGTTTTACTTGGTCCTGCATTAAAATGGCTATTGGTGTGTCAAGACTACCTTGTCCGCAGCAAAAAGTGGAAAAAAAAAGTCATCATTTCCCTTGTTTCATTTCAGCATTTTCAAATGGTAAATATTTGTCATTGTTTTGTTTTCTAATCTTCTTCTTTCATGGTAAATAAAAACTATTTGATTTTCATGTGAGGTACAGGTGTAAATTCCTTTTTTCACACGTTACGTTGGATATCTTTGGTATTTTTATTGGATGCAAAATGATTCCTTCTATGTCATTCGCAACCCCATAGGATATTAAGATATTCTACAAACTGGTCCGTTATAAGTAAATAAGACTTAGTGGTAAGTATAGGGTGTACCTCCTATTGCTTATCAATCAATCAATAACTAAATTCGTCCAGCAAGTCCATGCTGGAGGAGAACTGTGAGCACGACCTGGAAAGAAAATGGAATTAGCGTTTAGATAATCTGAATTGAATAGAAATATGTACTGAAACGTGCCAAAGGTAGTTTGAAACACAGAGCAAATCAGTATAAAGTTGATTTTTATCGTTCCAGTTGCAGGTCAGTGATCAGAATAACCAACAAATAATTACCCGGAACCCTGTGGTTTTCATGAAATACCTGACTTGTTTATTGCCCAGGGTCTGGATGGAGAGAGTTTGTTTCAGGTTTTTTTTTTCCCTGGTGTAGGCCCTAAATCCTGTCACCCCGTCTCGGTTCTTTCTCTGACCGCTCATTGTGCGCACTTGAAGTTTATGAAGTTGGTGCTGGGAGAGGAAGGAGTTGTCAGGAAGGGGATTTTCACCTGGACACCGTCGGTTGCGAGTTAGCAAACGTATTAATCCTCGTTGTTAGCAACCGGCAAGCTCCTGCGACGCGTGGTCCGGCGCTGGGCACGGCTCAGCCGAACGTTCCAAACACTGAGCGCGGAGAGGCGGGTGGCCTTGGGCAAGGGGGGCTGGCAGGGGGGCTCAGCGCTGGCTCGGGGCTCTGCCTTGCCAGGAACCTGCCGTCGCTGACTCCACCGCTCAAACCTTCAGCAAAAACAGACGCTGCTCCGCGGCGGTTTGCTCCTGTAAAATACAGGTGGCGTGAGGCCCGTCGTAGGGCTGTGAGGGTGTTTAGACTGCAGCACTCTCGATTCAAGTTGTGTAAACCATTTTGCTTTTACTTGAGCAGCATCCTGTGATAAATTATTCATTTTCCTGTCAAAGGTAGGCAGATATCTGAGTATCAGAAATGAAATATGGAAGAAGGCAGCAGCAGCAGAAATAAACTCCACTCTGTAACCAGCTGTGCAGGACTAAGGAGAATTTTGAGAAACCTACAGCTTAAAATTACTTCACAAGACGGACCCATTACGGATGGATTGTACCCGAATAGACGCGCGCTCCGCCATGCCATGTGTGGGGCCTTTGTGCTTAAGGAAACGATCGCGTGTGTTGCCTAATCAGCCAGACACAAATTTAATTAACCGTGTCGTAACATGGACACGAAACCCACATCAACGCGTACAAATTAATCACCGCTAACCTGGGAAAAAGGCACTGCTGACTCTCAGCCCACGCTTCTGATCCAAAAGAGAGTGACACCTTTCGACAATAATCCTATTTTCTTAGTTTCTTTCCTTCTGAGGTCTTCTGATGTTCTCCCGTTTAGCATTTAGGGCTCTTCCCTACGGAAAGTTTCGTCGTCGTTGTATTTTCCACTTTGCTCCGTGCCCCTGGTGAGAGGGAACGGATTCCTGATTAGGAAGGGGAAAGCAGCAGCTGTTTGTTGGTCACCCAACTAAAACATCGGACTTTTAGCTGCGTTTTGCAGTCTGTAGGACAGCAGTGACGTGGTTTTGTCATTCGGGACTCGTGACGGGGTGTCTCTGATACAATCGGCTCTAACACGAGGTTCCTCCTAATGCCAAACCACCTTAAATCTGACTCAGACAAATGGTGTGTAGGAGTGAAAAGATAATGCTGTAACTTGAGCCACTCAGAGTTCTGGTAGTCAGCAAAGACCTCTACCCCTAGAAATTACATTAGCAAACTCATTTCACTTAGCCTGCTGAGCAGCCGCCGTCAATTAAATCAAACCGGGCTGCTTTTGATTTGATAACTTTTAAGTAAAATGTTCACTAGCTCTTTCTGATTTCTTGAGTCATCCAGCATCTCCGCAACTATTTTATGGGATGAGAATTGCTTGAAGAGGAGCTGTGTTTAGTTTTTAAATTATGATTATTGTTACAACATTTTAGAAAGGTTTTTGCTACTAAAAGAATGATATCTAAGAAAACGCTGCCAGCCAGGAGATCAAATTTTGCTACTTGTGCTTCAGTCACTCTGATATGAGCAGGACTGGATGATCCTGAAGGCCATTTTTCCATCAGTAACCCAAAACCAACCTTCTCGATGATTAGAGTTTTCCATTTGTCAAGTTACAAGAAACAAGTTATTTTTAGTGGAGATCCTTGAACTCTAGAAACCTGTTTCAGGAGAGATCAGCTTGAACCCCTGACTTAATCCACATATGACATGGGGCTGTGGCAACTCTCCAGCTTGCAGCAGCAATAAAAAGCAGTGCTAGAAGTATTATTACTCCAGAACTTAAAATATTCACTGTTTGTAAGCTTGACTTAGTGGAGCATTGCCCGATTTCTTTTATCCTGATTGTTCCCTCCCCTCCTTGTCTCCCTGCTTTGCTAAAATGTAGGGGAAAAAAAAAAAAAAAAACAACAAAACAAAAGAGTAGCTGGGCCAGGTTCTGTGACGCTGGGGAGCGAGACTCAGACTCTGAGTCACTCTGGAATTGCCACTCCGGGGTGAGCTGTGACACGATGCGTCTACTCTTTCTGGAAGGAAGAAGGAGCTGAAGCTCAGCCCCGAGAGGGGAGGAGGAGAGGGGAGCAGGGCAGCAGCAGCGCTGAGCCCCGCTTCGCCTCCAGCCGGGCTCCCCCCCCCGTCAAGGGGTGCGCCCCGCGAGCTGGGAACGGTTCTGCCACAGTTTAAACCCAGGTGAAAATGCAAATCGCTGCTTGGCGACCGTTTTGCTTCTTCAGATACACGAGACAGGCTGGGGCTGCACGGCTGCGGGGAGAGGAAGGATACGAGAAGCCCTGCGGCCCTTGGGCACTGGTTTTGAACGCGCTGTTTTGAAAAGGCCGTAGTTGAAAACGTGTCGCCTCTGCTGAGCTGCCACGGTAAAAATCTCATTCCAGGTGTCTCCGCCGTCCCCCAGCAGTTGTCACGCTGAACGTCGGTGGCTGTCTAGAAAAGCCACAGAAACGAGATGCATGTAGTCTGATTTGGCCTTTTTCCTTCCTAGCCAGAGCTGGAGTTAGGGTAATAAGACAGAGTGGTTTGTCTCGTAGTTTTGTGTTGCCTTACAATCTGCACCTTTGCAAATAAAAATTACTGCTCGAAAAGGTAAGCTCTGAATACTTACCGTCTGCGTGGCGCAGTCCCCGGGGGCGTTTATAGGAAGGGAAAGTGGAGTCTTCCCCTCCCTGGTTAGCAAAATCAGGTGCCGAAGGGCGTGCTGCCCCTCGGTCCCCAGCCCGCCCGGCTCGGGGGGACGGGGGGGACGGGCACCCTCCCCCGGACCTGGCGCGTCTGCCCAGCCCGGGAGGCAGCGGCTGGGTTCCCGTGTCCCAGTTCTGAAAGGAAGGCATAAACAAATCTCATTAATTATTATTAATGGCAACGAAATACAGCTAGCATTTGTAAAAAACATCAAATTGCGTTTTTGGATAGCTTTTCAGTGAATTTCACAGTGGAGTTTTTTTTATAAATTATCATCGTCTTATTTCAGTATTCATACAAGTTACAGAGCTGGGCGACGATGTGAATTGAATATATATTTAAATAAAATATTAATGTAAATGCTATTACACGTCTACATCTAGTTGCTTGCAGTAGAACGACGCTTTTATCTGACGTTTAGGAACAATTTATAACAAACTGCCTTTGCAAAAGGCTCCACGCTGGGCCGGCGTTACAGCTGGAATATAATCAGCTTTGTAACAACACTGTCAAAAGGCCACTTCCACTAAAAATACGCTTAAGCCTCTGGAAATTGCACTGCATCTTTAAGCCTACCTGTAAAAGAACTTCACTGTAAGAAGTAAAGATGCCTCATTTATGCCAATGCATTTTACATTTAAATAGTAACTGCTGAGCCTGACAGAACTGACTGGGGATTGAGCGCTGATTGTCTGAGCCCTCTCAAATTACCTCCAACCTTGCCCCTGACATTGCTCGGCAGCGCATGGAAATGCGCAGCGCCGAGCTGCTCGCAGCCCCGCGTGCTCTGCTACCAGTTTTTTCCAAAATAGTTCAGGAAAAGGACCATGCCGGTTCTCCATAGTTAGGTCAACGGAGCTGAACGTTTTCCTGTGCTTTTGGAAGTTAGGGGCTGCAACAGATGTAACTGAAAAGTCACTGTGTAATAAAAGCCGGGATCTTTTTTCTTTAGGTGAACAGTGAAAACTCTTCCTGACAATTAAAGCTGACAGTTCTTGCCTTACCTGGGAAACTGGTCATATTCCAAGCTGTCTAAACCCGATGTTGTGATAACTCATGCATTTAAAATACTTGTTTTCCACAGGGCTAATTTAAATATGGATTTAATAACGTCTGCTTAACTAGCAAGGTTTATTTTTTGTTTTAGAGACAAACAGCCTAAGTCAGGCAAGACCTTTCGAATTAGTTCAATTACTTGAACAAACACAGTCCTGGCCGAAGTGTGGTCACAAATCTAAAACAGTGGAGAAATTTGGCTGCACCTGGTGCAAGCCACCTGAAGCAGGAAAGCTTGGTTTTTTATTTTCCTATGGAAATTGGCTCTTGCAGGCGCTGGGTAAATCAAGCACCTCTGGCTGCCTCGCTGATTTACAGCCCCGGGTGGGTGTTGCTATACATTTTGCATTTTCCTCTGTCTGATTTTACAGCTTGAGGCCGTGGCCAAATTCTGAACTCCCATTTTTGCACTCTTCCTCATTACCCTGCTAAAAAATTTTGCCCGGGGAATCCATTTGCTGTGTTTACTCCTGGTGCCAGCAGTTTGTTACCCTCTCTGGTTGTAAGAGCAGTGCCCCCAGCGCGCAGCCCGGGAGCACCAAGGCAAGTGCCAAGTGGCTTTGCCCCAATCATCAGAAACACAACTCGTGGATGCCACAGTGCTGAGCCTAGAGTACATTTTTTTTTTTTCTTTCTCTCCCTCCCAGCGCCACAGAGAAGTCGCCAGGATTTGAGAAATAAATACGTCATCTCACGGACGGCTGTTCAGCCTCTTCAGCATGTATTTTTTGGTCGTCTGGCCGCTGGGAATGGCAAAATGAGATAGCTGCAAATTACTGGAGTAACTCGGGAACAAAGCTCCCTCTGCTCCCTAATACTTTAACGTGTGCTGCCAAAGATTTTGTCAATCAATAGTTACTGTACACGATGGCAACGGAACCCATTTAACCAAATACTATTTTTGGACCAAATCCTGGAATCAACGATAAACACTCCCACTGGGGCCAGGTCTTGACTGGTTTTTTGTTGTTTGTTTCTTTGGGTTTGTTTTTATGAATATGTATATTTAGATGCCTCAGTTTTCACCCTCCTAAAGAAAAACAAGAACAGAAGATAGAGGAAAAGGTCGCAAAATTAGCGCTAATGAAAAGAAATGCTGTTTCACGTGAGGAAAAATTAAACTCAGGAATTCATTGCTACCAGATGTAATTAAAGCCAAAAACTTAAAAAACTCTCCAATGGATTATTGCTTGCATAGATGATTTGAGAAGTAACATCCAGCTACTTTTAAAAAGAAGCAAAGTCTTACCCTGCAGCAGCGTGTTTGTATTGCACAGTCACGACAGGCCAAGGGCAGGCTGCGGCGCAGGCAGATCTTGAGCACTTCCCAGCACTTTCCTATGAAACATCTAATCTGGAGAGCTCGTAAATAAGGCACGGGACACCACGCAGATTTACAAGGCAACCCAGTGTGGCAATTCCTGCAATGTTTATATTGGTATTTCGTAAACAGCTATTAAATAAGTAAATGAGATTCACTACTAATTTTTAAAAGAGAGCCAAACTCTGCCGTTTCTGTGAATCTAACAGAATACACTTCATCATTCCCTTCAGCTGCCTCAAAGAAACACACAAAAAAATCTCCTTCTTTTACTTCGCTGAAGCCTTTCAGATATGAAGACTTCAAATATACCTGACACAGGACGAGGATCGCTCTTGCAGTCTAAATGATATTTGTTGCCCTGACAACGGCACGCAAGCATTATTTATTAGTTCATACATTATTGATAATCCTCTAATTTGTGTGTGATGGGAGGAAGTTGGTCTGCGAGTAAGTTATAAATGGAAGGTTATCAACAACTTGTAGACATCGGTGACAATTCTATATATAGCTAGTCCCAGCGCACGCTCTGCTGATGCCACAGAACATGGGTTTTACCCACCGGTGGTGCAAGCGCAGGGTCAGGAATCTCTACAGCCCCGAGTTTCGACGGCCGTCTGTCAATAATAGTCATTTTTTCCAATCAAATTCAAAGACAGAACAGGAGATTTTAAGGATATTTCCTAATTATATACGGAGCCCAAAGAGAGTCTCAGAGTGTACACAGAAATCTTTTCCATCACAGATTCTTGGGTGGGAAAATGGAAAGTTTTGGAATAATGGTAAAAGACAGAAATCTCTTCCTATAAAAAGCAGGAAATAATCTTGCCCAGTTTGCATCTTACAAAAAATATGGTTCAACTTATCTACTTAATGTTGACAATATACTTCTGAAGAGGTATTCTATATTTCACCAGAGTCAAGAACAAAAACACCTTTGGTCAACACTGAGAGATAGTTTTACTTCTGTCTTGCTCCATTTACTTCATTAGGGTAATTATCCCACTTTTAAACCATCTGACGTTTCATCAGTGTCAGACCCGGCATCCTCGAGCACCAGTGAAGACACTTGGAGGATGTCCCATGATTCAGGTTAGATTTCAATAGAAAAGTCTCCTGCTAAGGAACTAAGGAGCATTTATTCTTTCTTTTTTTTCTTGGTGTCTTCTTTGTGTATGCAAACCAGGTATTTCTTTTCACATTACTTTTTCATTCCAACACATATTTATTTTTTAAACAAGGGAACCTTGTAATTTAGTTATAATAATTACATATTTTAAAATCTAGCTGGAAATACTGTCCTTTGGTGCACAATCTTAAAATGGGTTCTGGCTCTCCTTCTCACAGGCCAGTTGCTGGCTGGTGCTTTGCCTATTTAAACATGTATGCAGGAATGCAATTTTCACCTCTAAGTGTTAAGCATCCCTACTGGTTAAAAATAATCCTTGTAGAGAAAATGTAGCTGATGGCTACCCGGTTATAAAGGCAGAAATATTCCTGTATTTCACGCCAAACATTTTCCACATATTTTAGTATATTTTACATAGCTGTGCTATTCTAAAGAAGTTGATCACAATCAGGATCTTTTTTCAGCATCACTGTCATTGATTTGTACTCTGGATGGAACAGAAAACGTAAGCCAAAGGGAAATAGCTGTGGAAAAGAGCCGCTCAGCATCAAGAGTTAAGAGGAACACAAGTGTTAGTACAAAATGTTTGGGGCAGGAACCTAAACACGTATCTTTGGAACCGAGAGAGAACAGAGAATTATAAATACCAACAAAACGACAGTATGGCAAAATGACCTTTTGTTCTAGATGACTATGTTCAACAAAGCTCTGAAGTCTGAATCAGATTTAAATAGTCATATCACCAAAATGAATAAGAATTAAGAAGGTAAATTAATTCCTAAGGGAAATCACTGTAGATCTCATTAGTTCAGGAACAAGATACCTTAAAACTTTTAATTAAAGATAATATTTACTGCAAATGAATAAGAGTTGGCAGGTTTCAGCAGAACCCATAATCTCATTTATGCAAAGTTTTCTTATATTAAGGCAGACATCATTAATCTCATTGGAGATGCCCTCCAGACTGACAGTGCTGTAGCACCAAGGTGATTTCTTACAGAAGTCTTTTTATCTACACAAAAGAAATCTAACTCAAGCAGACACAAACCATAAGAAGGCCTGAGCAATTAGAGATATCACTCTGTGCAAATAGAGTACTGACTTTATCGTGTTAGTGAGCCTCTCATAATGAGCTCACTTCTAACAGGGCCCATCTTCCCACTAGCAGCCGAAAAATTAACAATAACTGGGACTCCTATTGCTTAGTTATCTGCCCAGTAATCCAGCTCTGGATCTGCTCTGACTTGGAAAGAAATTTCATCTTTTGGAGTCAGAGACCGGATAAAATTCGGTAGCAAACTGTAGATGATATGATGTACCCTGAACAGCTGTTGGAAGGCTCTACATTTTTGTTCAACGTTGTACAGCAGAGGATTCTTTTTACACGGCTGAATTCATACAAAGGCTGCACGGTGCTAACTGAACTCGGCGTCTGTTTTGGCTCCATGTTCAGAAGCTGTAAATAAATACTATAAAAAAATACTTAGTGAGGTTTTGGTAGAAGACTGCAAACAAGCTAACCACACCAAAACAAACATTTTGAGAAGATAAAGCTCCAGGAGGACAACTATTTTCAGGATTTTGTATTTGACACACTAATTATGTTAAAGAAAATTCACCTTGCTGGTTTGTAGCAAGTAGTAAGTGAACATTCTAGCGTACCGTGTCATGGATATTAATGAACTGCTATAATAGCAAATTCAAATTGATCCAGGGCATCTGTCTATTAATCAAAATATAATGAGAAATAATTAATAAGTGAGCACCGTATATGACCTAATCACTTATGCTAAAGCTGCTGCTTATTGCATTTCTAGTATGAATACACTCTAGCTTCAGAGGAGTTTTAAAGAGCTTTAAAATCTGCGGATTGAAAGACTAACCACAGTGCAGAGGATGATATTACTACGACGTTTGTAATATTTTTGTGTGCGGTTTGAAACAAAGCTTGAATTCTGTCTCTGAGCAATAAAAAAGTTCTTTGATAACATCGTAACTGGCACAAGATTTCGTTATAAAAAGCCCCAAAGCGGCAGAGTTCACTTCCATGACTACCGCCTCATTTGTTTTATTTGCTAATCTTTCATCAGAAATGTACAAACAGTTCACAGACTTCACCCAGATAATCAATGGGTAACCCTTTTTCTGTCATGCTTCCCTGCCCACCAGTCAGTCAGTATAAACGTTTTCACTGTAACAACTGCTCAAACTTGGAGTGCATCTTAAGGCTGCAATATCACCACTTGCTAGGATCTAAAGAGAAGTCTACATCAGTAGACAGCAAAATCAATGCTCACCCGATTACAGATATTTTTCAAAAATATTGCAGGCTCAGTTCATTCATCTTTTATGTCTGTTTTCCACTTTGGGCCAAATACCAGCAGAGCTGCTTCTGCAGCATGATGGATCTCAGTGGAACGAAGGATCTACTTTCCTGACTGCCATATAAATACTCCGAAGCTCTCTATTCCCACCTGGTTGTCCGGGGCATATTTTCTATCATTCCCCTAAAAACTGGGATATTGAAAGAGATGTGAGGAGAGGAGGGAAGAGCCTTCACCTAGCTCTCGACAGGAGATGCAAGAGAGGAAACAACCCCCAGGCTCACAGCTCTTTGCCATCTAGACCAGGAGAATTTTTCCAAACACATAAATGCTTTTCTTCACAATTCTCCCATTTTATGAAGAACGAAGGCGAGAGTCCCATACCTCTGGTTCTTTCAAACTGTCCTCCTTCAGAAGTAAGTTTATATATAACCACAGTTCTTATCCACACCCCTACACGTTCACAACCACTCCGCTCTTCAGCAAACCTAGATAACGCTCCCCACGCATTTGCTCCAATCTTTCCCTGGAACTTTCCATTGACGACCATGCCCAGCGACAGGGTTTGTTGAGGGGTTTCTCCTTTATAGCTGGCCGTGTGAATGCTTCCTCCTGCCAAGAAGACAAAGGGCTCTTTTTCCCTTTCTGTTGAACCAGTAATCCTAACCAGTCTCGCTCCCAAAGCCAGTAGAGTTAAGCAATACAGAATGAACTGCCTGCCAGACGGCAACTACCGTAAAGCCTCAGAAATCAGATACGCCTTGTCAGCGCTTGGCTGGCACAGAGAGAAAGGTAATCCTGATCCACCAAGGGCTGCGATGGCCACCCACAGCCCGAGCAGCGACTGCGAGCAAACAGCCTTTCTTCAGCCGTAGTTTCTTCCTTCATCGCAATGTTTTGCTGGGAGGGCTGTGCATCCCTGAGTTGAGCACAGGCCTCCCGGGTGCCGCTGCCGGCCCGGGGGCCGCGGCCCAGGCAAGCGCCGGTTGCCAGCCGCCGGCAAAGGGGCCGCAGCCCGCCTCGAACAACGCGGCCGCTTTATTTTGCTGCCACCTACTGGAAAAAAAAAAATAAAAAATATTTCTAAAATTGCGAAGGACGGGGCAGCGGCCTGGGCAGCACCGACCCACAGCCCTCTGACAGGAGCTGAGGGGGGGGACGGGCCTACTCCCCGTCGGGCGCTGTACCCCCGCAAAGCCGGGCAAAGCGGGGCTTCGGCAGAGTGGGGAGAGCAGCGTGAGGGTGCGGGACCCTCCTTTTCGTGGGGGGGTCCCCGCTTTCGTGCGTGTGTGTGTGGGTGGGGGGGGGGTGTTCCCGCTTCGTGGAACCTTCAGGAGCGGGGCCGCGCGGCGGCGCCAGTTGCCACGGCAACGGCGGCGGCCGGCGAGCCCCGCCCCACTGTGCTCGTCACAGCCGCGGCGACCAATGGCGGCGCCGGGCGTTGTCACGTGGGGTAGCGGCCGCCGCCGTGAGGGAGCGGCGGGGGCGAGGGGGGCTCAGAGCGCCGGGGAGTCGCCGCCATGTTCGGGGGGCTGGGCCGCTGCTTCGAGGAGGACCCCTTCTTTCGGTGAGGGCGCCCTCCCGAGCCCCGGGGGGCCGGAGGTGTGTGGGGGGGTCAGAGGCGGCAGGGAGGGGAGCGATTGGCGGGGATAGCCCGGTGTGGTTCACCGCCGCGCTGCTCCGCGCACCCGGCACCGGCGGCCGTGCGGGGCGTCCCAGAAAAATACTCAGGGGGTTAAATTGCTGTCAGTGACTTTAAATATCAGAGTCTTGTCTCTTATACCCTCTTCTGTAATGCCCGTAATTTTTACGGTCTCACAGCGCGGGGAAGAAGATAATCATCATTTCAAAGTGACACCTACTGAGAAGAAATCTTCACATCCCTTAGTTTGTTTTTCTTGGTTATCTTTTCACTTTTTTAATTAGTTGACAGGTGCTGGATGTTTTCGCTTTTCTCGATTTATTTGGATTTTTTTTTTTTTTTTTTTTTTTTTTTTGCTGTAGACTGTTTCTGAGCTCATGTTGTCCATGCAAACGCTAAAGGTAACACCGGGTGTTCTTGCATTAAAACTTTGCAAACCCGCGTGGGAGATCAGTCAAGGCAAACTGTTGCCTTGTGCCAGCTTCCTGAGTGGAGGCTGATGCTTTAGCTCAGAAAATGTGTTTTTTGGGTTGCTGTACCCTGAGCATGCTGGTGGTGCTTGGGGTAGAGCAGGTCTGTGTGTTAAATTCTGAAATCGCTTTATTCCCCATGTGAGTCTTTATTTGCCGCTGGAATTTAAATCCAAATAGTGCAACGTGCAAATGCTCCCCTAGAGTGCTGGGATAGCCAAAACTGCTGAAATATCTATCTGGCACCAATTTATGTCCTTTGTCAGAAACTGTAATCTGGAGCAGCTAAGAATGGGATCAGAGAACTCTGAGGAGCCTGAATGATTTTAGTTTTTCTAAAGACGTGGTATTTAACTCTGTGGAGTTTAATTACAAGCAAGATAAGGGGTAATGCTGGGGGGTGGATGAGGAAGGGTAAGGCATCAGGCCTTGTGATGTGGGTTTGTTGACTTTATCTCTTAGTTACAGGATATTCTAGCTGAGGCTGCATTTGCAGCACTTAAAGGAGAATCTACTGCTTAGCTGCAAAAGCACGTCCCTAGCAGGGGGATAGTTTCTCAAGCTGTGCAAGGTGGATTAGGACATTTGGTTTCTAGGAGTATGCTCACTATTGTAACAACTCATCAGTTATATGCAGGATACACTACGCAGACAAGTTCACTATGCAAATCCTCTGCATGAAATGAAAATAATTATAATGGAAATTGTCTTTTTTGTAGTAATTTTTAGCATGCTTTAGAAATAGCAGTTGCTTACCTCCAATTTATTAATTTTATTCATTCATTTTTATTGTAGCCACTGATGCACTTAGGAGGAAAAAATATTGCAGAAGAAGGGAAGGGAGTGTGTGTGAAAGAGATGAGAGAGATTGATACTGGGATTAATTTTCTTGGCATTGTCCTTGTAAATCTGCTTTGCATCCACTTAAGAAAATGAGCTTATTACTTCAGATAAGACTAGCTTCCAAAATAGTGTAATAATCGGTTTCTGTTGCCTCATAAGGAGAGATTTTGACTGCTGAACTGGAAATAGTGCCTGGGTTAAAAGAAATGTCTCCATCTGTGAGCAGCTGCCCTGGGGAAGCACTGGTCAGTCAGCCAGAATGCTGCCCAGGCCCTGTTGAGGTTCATCCCTCATGGCTGGGACAGCTGCAGAAGTTGTGTCTTCTCTGCCAAGTGCAATTGGCCTCTGGTTTTAATTTACCAATACACAGCTTTTGTTTTGTTGTTCCAGGTGTTATCTCCAGTGTGAATCTGCAACTTCAGGCTTATGTAACTTCCTAAGAAAAAAACAAAACAAAACAAAACAAAACAAAACAAAACAAAAAAAAAAAAAAAAAAAAAAAAAAAAAACAAAAAACAAAAACCCAAAACTAATACCAAGTAGTTTTCAAGAATAATAAGCTGAATTTATTGTTCTAGGACACCGATTTTTTCCTCTGACCAGAAACATACTCTGAAGGAGCAAACGTTGTACTTTACTGGAACACCCCAAAGGATTTCAGCTGGAACACAGAGTCTTAAACTTTGGAGTTTAAGCTTGAATCATACAAGAACTTAGCAAGTGAGGTGCACCTTAGTGAAAATCCTCACTTGCATGTGTATTACCAACATCGGCCTTCTTACTGTCTCTTTCTCCATACAGTTGGTGTACCCGTTGGAGACTGTCACAGTCTCAGAGGCTGAACATTTTTGTTCCCTTTATTGATCCCTGCAAATACCTGAATGTCAGGTGAAGGTCAAATTAACTACTTATTAGGCAAAACTTGTTGCTGCAGAGTAGTGGAACAGCAAATGTATAAAACATTTGTTGCCATTCAGAACTCAGTTTTGAAAATAACTTGTGGTGCTTAACATGTGAAGGGCACAAATTCTGTATGCCAAACCTTATAGAACCCCCTTTCTTCTTCCCCATCACTTTTATGGTATAGTAGTGCAAAGTGTGCAAAAATCAAATCTGTCTTATCAAAAGTATCTTTTTTATACACTCTTCCTGCACCACCACCACCAAAAAAAAAAGTCAGATTTTTAAGTCAGATGTGATCAATGGTAATTGAACTGGAATGTTCTATACATGTTCTCATCCTAGAAGATCTGTGACTTGATCAAAGAACTTAAGATCTTGCATCTTCTACTGGAGAGACTTTTGCTTGTTTAATATCTACCTATCTATTAATATAGATAGATACTCCTCTTGTAGTTATCGTTTGAGTTTCAGTCATCAGAGCCATCAAGGTGGTAGGTTTAATTCCTTGGAAGCCGCATCTTCCAGGCAGATTCTCTGTTGACTTTCCATTGGTTTTGCCCTATTCCACAGCATACCAAAATTGCAGTATTTCTTTTGAGGCTTGGCAACACTAGATCTTTTAATGAATGGCTCCCTGAAATGGCCCTGGGGAATTGGGAGACTTCACTTTTGTTCCTAAATCTGTCACTCCAACAGTATTATATCTTACTTCCCTGTCTCTGATAGTAAGGAGCTGCATTTTTAAATGGTTTCATACACCTTTAATTTAAAAAAAAAAAACCAACTAAGAACCCCATGGTTTTAGATGTGGGTATGAGTGTATCAAATAGATGTAGTGGAGGGTAAATGGCCAAAAGAAGTTGCCAGAGAAATTGGAATAAGGCAAAAAGGACAATTTCACAAGGTAGGAAGCATGATTTTTACTTCAGGTGATGCAGCATGTTACACGCACTAAATTCAGCCAATTTTCTTCATTAAATCTCTGGAATCTTGTGTTGCTTGTGATGGGTTGTAGATAATTTACGAGTTTCCTGCTTTTGAACTGGAAGGGATTGGGGAGAGGTTTTGTTATGCATAAATTACTGATGGAATACAGTTCATATTTATTTGTGGAGTCAAAATAGATTCAATGGAAGTATGCATATACTGTGGTAGTGCTTGTGTGCTTCCCTCACCTTGGCTTGTGCAGTGGCTTTTTCCATCTGTTCTTCATCCTGTGAAAAGTGAGGGGACACTCACTGTGTGCAAGCTGCTTATCACATTAGGACTGAAATTAAAGCTAGCAGTCATGTGAGTGGGGTAGATTAGGGTCTGTGTAATGACAGTAGTTAAACTACTTCTTAGGGTCTGTTTGCACTGGAGTGAGTTAAGTTCGTGTGTAGCTTAAGGGGGTTTTGCTGTGTTTAAAAAAAAATCTTGTTTGAAAATTAATCCACCGTTGTGTTTGTAATCTTACTTCTTTTTTACTTAAAAGAAAAAATAAAAAAAATAAATGCAACTTTGGCACAAGAAGAGAGTGCAAAGCAAAGAGATCGGAATGGCTGCATGGTGTGGAAACTGGTTTTCGTGGGACTGGAGATAAGGGTTGGGGTGAACAGGAAAGCTGTTCTGATTTTTGAGAGATGATGGGGTATTGAAGAAGTCAGAGGAGCTTCCTGAAGCTTGTCTTCAGAGGCATGAGATGTGATGGGAAAGGTTGCGGTGTCCTGGAGGGAATGAGGGTGTGAGGTGTCTGGGGAGTGCCAGGAAACGGATAGGAAGGAAGATGAGGTACTATTAAGTCTAAGTAAACATACCTGGGAAATTACTATTAACGTTAATAAACTGGTGTTCAGAGGAATAGCAAAGGGGAAAATTAGACTGGAGATGAAGGGAGGAAATGAAGCATGTTTTTTTTGTATGAAGCAGTAATTTGTAGCCTTAGACCGCAGGCAACCGTACTGCTCATATGGTGTCCTTCTGACAAAATCATATTTTGCTCCTCTTTTGGCCTCAGTTAGCAATATTTAGTTCTTGTTCAAGTTGGACAATGCAAAGAATTAAGTAAGTTGTAATGGAGAGCAACTTGAGCAATGTTTTACCTGCAAACCAGTCTTTGGGATTACTGGTGGGGGTTCTGTAGGTTTTCAGGAACGGAGGTTTAGAAAGAGGGGAGGAGAGGGGGAAAACTAACAGGAAAGCAAAAAACTCTTCTTAAGCAGAGAAAAGGGATGTGAGAACGTGATTTGTGGAGGGGTAGGAAGAGGAAGGCAAAGATGCGTTGGTGGACGACTAAAGTAAAGGAGATGGAGCTGGCTTGAATTTACAGTATATGTTTTTGAGCATGTGGGTTGAGGAGGGTGGAAAGTAGAACGGGAGCTGCCAGAAAAATAAATTGGGGGGGGTTGTGTGGTGTGTGTGTGTGTGTGAATATAGTGGGACACAGTGAGTAGTACTATGCTAAGATTTAGAAGATGAAAGTTAAAAAGGGAGAGGAAAAAAAAAATAATCCTTTTAATATCAGGGGTTGGAAGTAGAAGTAGTGATAAGTAAAATATAGGTCAGTTTTATAGTTCCTGGAAGATAGTAAACGTAGGCTGCTGTGAAAGATGGCTGCCAAGGATGGAATATTTTTGGAAAAGATGAGGAAAGAAAAAAAGCAATACAGACACCCAAGAGCAGCGGATAAGACAAAAAAACTAAAACACCCAACCAATTTGAGAGATGGGAAGAAAAGTGAAAGAAGTGAAAGTTTGTGAGGAACGAGAGATTGCTCAGTTGGGTCCTATTAAAATAAAGAATTTGAATAAAGGACCATATGGAATGATTACAGAAATTGAGTTTTAAAAATTTCAGAGCCATATTATATAGTTCGAAATAAAACCCGATGACTTTCTATGCGAAATATCTCTTTTTCAGCGATCCTTTTGCTGCACACCATGAATACATGCGGCAGATGATGAGAAGCTTTTCTGATCCTTTTGGACGAGATCCATTTCTCAGTATAACAGATGGTGGGGAGAGAACAGTAGATCGAAGAGCACGCCAGGACTCTCAGGTTGCTCTAAGAGGAAATCACAGAGTAAGTATTTTCTTAATCTCTAGGGATTGCTACATGGAATATACATTTACTAGTAATGTAGTTGGCTTCACATTTCCATTTCTGTTCATCTTTGTCCAATGGAAACAGAGGCCTGGCTCAGCTATTGCAACCTTGGTCAGATTGTTTCATGGTTGAGTGAAATGGGAATAATATCTCTCTTGGTTTCTTAATGGCCTGTTGCTTAACACAGGCAAACTTATGTTAGGACTTATAACAAGTTTGTATGTTACTGGACATTAAACATACAATATTTAATGAAAAAAACCCCTAAAAATAGTTATCAAATGTTTGATTTAATAAATATTATGTATTAAATGTTTCTGTTACCAAAAGGCATTAAAAATATCCAATGACAGAGCCTTCTCTGAACACTTACTTCTTTTTTATGCTAACCTTACTTAAAAAGGTACCTTGGTATGTTTATGCCTTCACTCTGCACTTTATCTCCTGTCTAGTTATTTATGTTAGTTTGATTTAACAAAAACCTGTGTTTCAGCCACCTAAATAGTTTCTACATAGATATTTTAAACCGTGTTCCAACTTTGCAACTGTGAATAAAGGCTTCATGTTCTGTATTTGGTCTGATTCTTAATGTTTTCTCCAGACAGAAGACTGTAAGAATTAAAGATCAGGGATAGCAATACAAAACTGAGTAATTCTGTAAATTACCCCCTGAAACTGAGAGGTTGGCAATGATCTGTTTTACATAAAGTATCCTTTAAACTCTCTGAGCATGCGGGACGAATGGATCTTAAGCTTCTGTAGCTAAACCTTACCTAACTGCTGTATTTAGAAAGGATCTACGTTTGAAGTTGGTTCCTTTCCCCCTACCAGGCTAAATATTTTGCAGCTGCATGATCTCTTACTGTAACGAATCGCATTTGATTTTAAAAAACAGTTGGAAGACAAGACATTACAAGGGCTTGTGGAACTCGGCCAGATTTGGTGGTGGTTGTTCAAACCTAGATAGATAGAGCTTAATAAACATAGCTGAAACACAGACTACCACCTACAAGTCAAAAGGGTAACTGTCAGATTCTTTCCTCCGTGCTCATACGTTGCCAGTTAGTTTCAAATATAGATGCTGCTGGATCTAATTAGGGCATGATCTTTCCTCTACTGAAGGAGATTCTTAGGTTCAGTAGGTGCCTAAAAACAGGCCAGATTCCTTTTTCCTTTAGAAAAAGAATATGTGGAACCTTACCCTAATAGCTGAGGGGTTTGTGTCCCTTTTTCTTGGCAGTGAGGGATAAATGTGAGGGATAGAAGACCTTTATCTGTGGTTCCAGAAAGAAGTTAAAGGTACAAGAGTGCTGTGTTATTTTGATAAGCACAAAAGAATTCCACACCTGCTAAAAATCTTTCCAACAGTTTTTGATGTTTCGCATGTTTCACCTAAGAGTTGTCAGGTGTCGCAGAAGACAGCACTGATTACTTGAGCCTTGTAGTAGTCTCAAACTGCTTTTACTTGTTTCCCTCCAGAAGTGACTCAAACACTTAAAATAGTTACCCATTTTTCAGATATAAAAATCTGTCTTTACTATCATGTAAAATATACTTTGTTAAAATCACCCATGCTGATGACTGATACTGTAATTCTATGTTTAAGTAAACTGAAGCATGCCTGAAATTGCTCTAAGAGGAACAGAATTTTTTGCAACAACTCGATGTGCAGCAATATAGCATTCAAACTTGAAAATGCTTTTCTTTTCTCAAGCAGGTTTGCAGTGTCAGGTTTTAGTCTCTTAGAGGAAGGGAAGGAGGGGGAAAGGATATGAGCAGGAGGAATGGGGTAAAACGTCTTGAGAGTGTCATTCGGATATCTGATTGTCCAATATATTAGGCAACTATTTAACAGCTTTTAATATGTTTTATAATACAAATAGTTTATAAACTTTTTATGACTAACATCTTTATTTCTGAGGCTATTCGTTTGCACTTGGTGTATATATAGATATATACAAAAATATGTATTATTCTTGTCTGTTTCTACATTATTAGACAGAACTGCAATCTGAGAGAGTGCATAAAGGTATTCAAGAATTGGATAATTCCTTCCTTGTGTATTTAACGTTACTGTAAAGTGTTTAGTACTTCTGTCTAACTAGTCTTTCTTTAGGTAGGCTTTTATGTAACTCTCCAACCTTAGTGTCCTGGAAACATCAGTGTGTTTTCCAGCATATCAGTGCCCTGTCATATAGGGATACTCAATATCACTTGATCAAACAGGAACTGTATTTGCTGGTGTTTATAGCTACATCTATTTATACCACTGCAGAAGAATATAATTTGCTCATGGGGGATTTGTCTTCAGGTGGTTCTGTATATGATGATAGATTTACCTAGAACTTCTTTGCAGTGACCTTTGAAACTGCTGACAAGTTAGACTTCATTTTGTTTATTGCAAGGGATGTATGGATATTTTAGAGAAATATCTTTTATGTTTACATTAATCTCTTGTAATACCTAAAGAATACTTGTGAGCAGGTCAGCTGCATCACTTAATTTTTTTAAGCTCTAAAATTGTATGCCAGCCTTCTGAAATTTAATTACATAAATTTACATTAAAGGGACTACTGATTTATTGTTTTTAATCAGCTTTCAATGATGGAATTCTGTGGCACAAGAAGAATGAAGTGTTTTCAGAGAAGCGAGTGATCTCTGAAGCACTGTGCCATGTTTTAAATAATTTTGGTACAGAGGTTGCTATGGTGTACAAATGTTTCTCAACTTCTAGCTTTAAGTGCTTCTAGTACGTGCATATGAATATGACTTATTAAATGTGGTGACAGCTATCGCTTTCCAATATCATTAGTATAAATATATTACTTCTGTATACCCAGAGACTACTTTGTATTATGTTGTTGTAGCGTACTATAAATTACCAAGGTCCTCTTGAGTGACTGTTTTTATTTGATTGGAAATGTTTAATATCAGCTGCTGTATATGAAGGTTACTTCTGATAACAAGTATAATAACTAAAAGATGCCGGTGCTTTTTCTTCCAGGCAACAAGCTGCTCCCTCATGCCCTTCGCAGGCTTTGGTAGAGTGGTTAGTATCCTAGGAGCAGTAATCCTTGTAGCTCTTGCTAGTATGTGTATACTGTCTGCAGAACTGAAGCATGGACAAAGGCTAGTCTCGGCGTGCTTGCAAACTGCTTTTGCTGGTGTTTAGATATATGGAACAATGTCATTCAAGAAAGAATTTTTTTTTCTTAGTAAATGAAAATGCTGGGGTAGACTAAATACACTGATATTAAGATTGGAAAGATTACAACTTTGCAGCTGGCTTTTCTGCTCGGTGATGTATCCCTTAGTGCTTGTCTCTGATGGATATGAATGACGTAATTTCTGGAAAGAGACCCCAAACTCTGAGTGCTGCCTGTGGACGGACGCTAGCAGCTTGGAGTGTGTCTGTGATACCGGCAAGGCACTGGTCACAGCTAAGACCGGCCAGCTTCTGGAGACATAATTTCCACTGGAACTGGGCTTGGAATGGTTTTCAGCTGTAGTTTGTTGGGGGTCTGGAATATCTTGTAAAAGATCTGTAAAAAGTACCTGAGGAAAAAGCAAGTTTATTGTTATGACCCTCATGGAGCTTTTTGCCTCCCTCGGAAGGCTTTCAAGAGTCCTCACATTGAAAACCAGTCGCTTAGAGTGGCTGTCACTTGCAGAGCAGATAAAAATAAGCACAAGTCTTTGAATTTTCCAATCTAAAAGTATCACTTGATTAATTATCTCTTCTGGAGGCACAAGCAGGCAACTTGCTGTATGCAAAAAGTATAGTAGCTAATTAATGTTCTTTTGCTACTGACCGCACAGGCTGTGGTTTTACTCCCTCCGCCCCAATTTATGGCATGTAATTCCATAGGTACAGCTGATTATGATGTAATGTCATTGGTTAACGTTCAGATTTCTAACTGTAGAAGGCAATTTTCTGAAGTTACTGACACTTGCAATGATCTGATGCCAAGTTGTCTAGAATTACTGCCCAGAGGTTTTGACAGCTCTTAGGGATTCAGATTTCTTGCTATTCAAGAAAGAAACTGAAGATTTTCGACACCTGAATTTTTCTTAGTTTTGTGTTTAAACTGCAGATTTTATTTTTAAACCTTTAAACACATAGCTATTTAAATGACTTTATTTAAATTTAACTCCATAGGTTCCCAGTAGTTGGAGGATAGCGGGGTGTTTGCTGTTGTAATTAGCATCCTGGTGTTTCACAGCACCTTGGTAGTGCGAAGGGCTGCCGGCAGCCTGCCTCTTGCCGAAGCTGCTGGGTTTTGCAGAGCCCCTGGGAGCTGTTTTCCCCCGCTCAGTCCCTCCGGAGCAGCTCGTGGTGGTGGCACAGCTAGGCGTGTGCCTGTCCATCAGCTCACCAACCAGCACGAGGGGTTTGCTCTTCACCGGGGTCCTCCAGCCAGAGCTGCTCGTGTCAGAAGCCAGGCAGGGAGTCTGAACTGAGGAAAAGCTCGTGGGAGAGGAAAAGCATGGCAAAAATCATCTGTATCATCACCACCTGCTGCACTGGAGAGGAGCCCAGAGGAGGATGCTCATTTGGGACAGCACTGCTGTCTTCCCAGATGGTCACTTAGGAGAGTTCAGCCCTTCCCTACTTTCTGTCTCCCTATTTTTTTTTATTTTTTTTTTTGCTTTGTTTTCTTCCAAAGATGGCTTTTGTCAGTGTGGTCGGTACATGCCATCAGCTACAGATCCCATTAATAACATTCTGTGCATGTAAACCTGTCTTAGCTATACTTTGTGCAACACTGGATCTTCTGCTTTCATGTGAAAATAACTAATGAATGTGTTGTTGAATGCATCTATAGCAGCAAGTAACTAAGCTGCCATTAAAATACCAAGATATGGTTCTCTGATTTTTCCACACTGCACTTTCATGAGTTATGTCCACTATTCCTGCGAAGGAACAGCTGTGTCTGCTAGGAGGTGTTTTCGGTGCGATTCCATATGCATTAAGGGATTTGCATAATAGAGATAATTTGATCTTCAATAGATTATAAGACATGGAGGGGTCATATAGTACTTAGAGCAGAAGCTAGTTAGGTTAGAAGGTATATGAAAATAGTTCTTGTAAATTGGCCACAATATGAGCTTATTTTGACATTTGAGTGTCAAATCTTTCACTTCTGTCTTTCTAGTAACTCCAACCTAACAATCAAGCTCACAATGCTAGCTTTCAGTTTTTCATTTGAAAATACATACTTTGGCTTGTCTACATCTATGAATTGCAGTCTGTGCAAACCTTTTTTGATGGTCTGATTTGCATTAAAAATGCATGTAAAAAAGCATCTTCAGAACTTGAAGAGTCAGAAGACTTGTGTTTTAATTTTAATTTCTTTTAGCAGGATGCAGATTTTGGGGAACCTTTTTTTGCAATGGACAGGATGATGTCAAATATGAGAAACAGTATGCTGGAAATGCAAAGAAAATTTGTAAGTTTTTAAAAATTTGTTCTAAAATTAATTGTACTGGAGAATGGCAGTTGTTTAAAAAATTACTCGGAAAGTCCTGCCAAGAAAAAGGTTATTAGTCTCAAGCAGATAGCAAGAATTTTACTTGTTTTTGTTTTTTTTTTTTTTTCCCAGACTATATCATGGCTATAATTCTCTATGCTGTCGCTGATTATTTGCTAACAACGGTACTTTAACTGTCTGATTGATTCTCTAAGGGTTAGAACTGCTGTAAGTTATCTGGTCTCTGGCTGTTGCCAGAGCTGACACCTTCAGTGAAGGAGCAGTCTAAAGTGCTATCGTATACCTAAAAACAACCAAACCACAGGCACCTAAATGACTCCCTGCATATAGACTTTCCTCTGCTTTTATTTACAGTGCTGCTTCTTGCTTCTTTCTTCACAGTCTTTGAAGATAACACTGATCATCTATTAAGTGTTGCTGAGTATATTTACTGTGGTTTACTAGACTTGTAAAATGGCTTGTAACCACTGTTGCTCAAGTCCTATTTCACTTGAACTCTTACTGTGTGTGGCAAGACTGATATTACAGGTTATATCTTCATTCCCAAGCTAAACTGTGCCAGGGCAAACATTTGAGCAGTTGCTTATTGCTGCCCATGGTTTTCATTTGTTGAGTTTCCTGGCATGGGGAGACCTGTGACCAGACAAGCCTGGGGTAAGAGTGAGGACATACCCAATACCAAAGTTTCTTCCCAATAGGCCATATCTGTGGTGCCAGGACTGAGGGTTAATTTTTCAGAGGGGTATTTTTTCATAATAAGATAGTCTCAGAATGTAAGAAGTACCTATTATCCCCAAGTTTAAACTCTTATTAATAAGGAGTCTCTGTCGGTTCTAGGATGACCTGTCCATCCATCCAGATGGACACACGTTCAGCTCCTCCTCTGTGATGACATACTCCAAAATAGGGGATGAACCACCAAAAGTTTTCCAAGCTTCAGCTCAGACACGCACAGCTCCAGGAGGTGTAAGTAGTCCTGAGATGAAGCAAAAAGGTGGTATGTAATTATCAGAATTTAAGTTCATCTATACCAAACCACAGTTTCCTGAAGGTTCTTTTTATTGGAGACAGTTACTCTTATAATTTAGAAAAATACATGTCTGTTTAAATACTGCTCTATATTAAAGACTTCTTAAGCTAAACTGCTGTTTTCTTCTTTGTAATTTGTATGCTTCTAAGTATACCTCTAAATAAATTGTATGCCTATCAGAGACTGGAAAAATTGAGTGCCAGAACAGCTGATTCTTCAAGGCAGTCTCCAATGCCTTTCTACTTTGCTGTAATTAATCCTCTTCTTGTACATTTAAAATTCCGTCTAAAATGCAAGATAGCAAGAGGCAGCCTATTTATGCAAAACATGGCTTCAGATCACCCCCTTTACTCAAGCACTTTTAAATGCTTACGTAACGCTGCAGATGAAGATGCCCTTTCATTGACTTCCTTGCAGCTGTTGCATCTAATTCTGCTAAGAAATTTGAATTTGAATTTGAACCCTGAAGCAAGGTTCATGAAAGACTATATGCGAGCACTAAAGGCCATTGAGCGTGATTGGCTGTGGGATATGTTCAAGCTCAAGCAGACACTCAGTTATCAGAAAGGTTCTAATAATATACCTATGAACACAGTGATAAGTGGTTGCCTGGGTTTCAAGCCAGTCAACATGACAACTTGGTAATTAGTTGTCCCTTCATGCTGGGAATATTCGCATCGGCTGTTACTCGTTCTGTTGTCAAGGAGAATGTTGAAGACTTGTCTGCGTGTAGTATATTTAGACTAGACTTTTTTTTTTCCCCCCACAATTAACATCCAGTACATACGTTACCTAAGAAGCTTTAGGTGTTCTTGTTTAATCTTCCTGTCTGTTGGCGAAAAGAAAATAGACTTGATCTGTGCTTGCTTTGGTGTATTTTCAGCTAACACAGTAAATGAGACAATTGGAAAAGCCTGTAAAACCGAACTTTTTCAAAAGTAAGATAAAAAACCTTTGGGGAAGTAAATTGGGTATCTTTTTAACTCTTATAACTTTCTTTTTTTTTTGGTTGGAAAGACATGTATTTCCCTTTTTTGTACAGGTTAAGGAGACAAGAAAAGCACTTAAGGATTCTGAAAGTGGACTGGAAAAAATGGCTATTGGTCATCATATTCATGATCGTGCTCATGTCATTAAAAAATCAAAGAACAGCAAGACTGGTGATGAAGAAATGAACCAAGAATTCATCAACCTGGATGAAAGTATGTCTTTTTATGCAGCGCTCTAATGGACTTTACACTGTTGTTTCACATACCAATTTTGAAGTTCCAGCTTGAGACATCTTAAGAGGGACTGTTTTCCAGACAGTTTTAAAGTCTGCAAATCAAGTTTCCTTAGTTGATATAAATCTGGACAACCTAAGTTAAAGTAACCAGTCAGACTTGAAAATGCTGTGTTACAGTGCTGTGGATGCTGTGTGTTTGTGCAATAGCTGCTCATATTTGAAAGTACTTTTAACAGAACTTTACTATTTCCTACGTGATTGTTTGTGGCTAATATAAAATACATATGTAAGAGATGTGTAGTTAAAATGTGCATATAGTTTTACAACACAGTGAATTCCAGTTTCTTTTATTTTTATCTTTCAAACGTAAGCCTACTGGTAGTAAGCTTTTAGTTGTCCTTTACAAATCCCCTAGAAATAGTTCGCAGGCCACATGGAGAATCATGGACTCGAAGTTTAAAAAACACTGTTCAAAACCCCCAATTTTCATTACATGTTTTTTCCTACCTTGTTTGCATTTATTAAAAATAAAAAGTAAACTTTAACTGTTTTTCAGCTGAGGCCCAGACCTTTGATGAAGAGTGGCAGAAAGAGATTATGAAGTTCAAGCCATCTAGAACTAGGGGCACTTTAGAAGCTCCAAAATACAGAAGTATTCATCACGTGCCCAGGGAAGATGGATTAAGAAGGTAAAAATAGTCTCCTACAAGAATAAGGAAATACTAGCAACAGAATGAAAATTCAATTCTGAAGCAATCTGTTCATGAATGCTTACAATGCTTGCTAGAAATCTGAGGAGAAATAGCACGGTTTATTCCTCCTTTTCTCATGATACCACCAAAAAGAGTGTAAGGCAGTATATTGTTAACTAAATTTTGACAAAATTCTCTTCTGGAGAAATATGCCAGTGCTCTTAGCTCAACTATGTGCAAATGTTGTAGCAGCCCCCCCAGTCATTAAACTGGGTTCATTGCATTAAGGTGTAAACCTGATTAAGGGCTAGGTTGATCCATTCTCCTGGGTAGAAGGAAAGGCACCTTCTATACAGTTGGAGAGAGACACTCCACTTTCTTCAGGGTTAGATTTCAAATGAGACCTTTTCTAATCTTAAAATCAGGAACGAGGACTTTACCTGTAAACGCATGAGCTCCCCTACATAGACTGCTGTCTGCCAAGTTCCGGGTTTTTTCCTCTCCTGTTGACATAGTGTCAGTGGAAGTTGTGATGCCTTTATCAGTTGCATGTTTGGTAGAGAATGATACAGAAGGGAAGTACTCCTCATCCTTAAACTACACAGAGCACTTTCCCTCCGGCACCTCTTCTGTTCTAGACGTTTATCACGGAGCCTGCTTTACTTCCAACTTTGATTTTCAAACTAAGCTGTGTCACTCTTCTCATCAAGTGTGCAAGATGAGGGAACGGTCCAACTCTATGGTGGCAACAGGGGAAGTAGTTTTGGAGGGACAGTCAAATCTGTCTTACAACTAAAATATCTCCACATAAGTAATTAACAAAATATATACTCCCTCACCCCCATATCATATGGTGGTTGCAATTTTTGTTGTTTGTTTCAGAGGGAAACCACTTGCAGTTGCGGGTTCTGGGGAGCCGAGAGTTTCTTCGGAGAATCTCAGTGTGAAAGGAAGACACGTCCCCATCAAAAGCAGCAAAAAATAAATTGCTTCCATTCTCCACATGAATGGAGTTTCTTCAAAGATAACGGTGCTGCATTGCTTATGTTCATATAAGTATACACATATATATGACCAATCTCTGTTTTTTGTTTTAGTAAGCATTAGCGTGCCTTGCTACTCTGATCTTTTGACAACTGAATGTTCTTCAAAACTTAAGATCCTTGGTGAAACTGCATAGTTTCAGTAAATTAAAAAAAACAACAGCTTCCCACTTAAAAGCACTTTAATGGATTATCAGTAATTCTGGTTTTCTTTTTTTTTTTTTAAATAAAAACTTTGATTTAAAGATTTTTCTGCTACAACTGCACCAGTCTCAGACTTTTTATTAAGCCTGGTAATGGAACTACTTTTTCCCTCACTAACTTGCACAGAAAGTAAATTCTCTTTTAATTTTGTGTGGCTGAAATAATTACTAATTTTCTAGGTGATAGAGCAATTAATAGTAATTTGAATACACTGTAGCCACTATGTGTATATATATATATCTTTAAAATCATACTGTAAATTGTTATAGAATCCTCAGATTCACCTTGATTTTAACATGAAGAAAAGTGAGAGGAAATACTAAAATGACAAATACTTTAAATTTTAGTTTATCAGCATTCTTATGTTTATAAGCTGTGCTTGCATCTCTTACTTTCTGTGCCTAGACTGTCAATTCTGTATTTCTCATCCTTTGTATATTTACTTTGGAGGTGGCCCATTATTTTTCATTCTTGGAGATTCTCTGTAGTAGCTTTTAATTACTGTGTGATAATACCACTGTGTCCTCAAACTCAGCTGTAACTACTAGTTATTAATCAGAAAAATCTGTAGGAGAAACTGGTTGAGTAGGCAGTAGTGTAACTGGATAATGAATGATTATACCATTTCTTCTGTTCTAAAAAGCTAAGGGCTCTGCATACAGGAAACCATATTCTCAGCTGAGATGTGTTTGTGTTCTTTTCTGTCCTGCTTTAGTGGATGTAGAATGATCTGAAAACTAACACTGACGTCACGTCCCTTGATGTTCTTGTCATTGTTTGGTTAAAGAGTCTGATGTTCTAGAGGAAAGCCAGCTGTCTGACCGAGAACAGGAAAGGTCTTTGTACTGGAAATGTTTCATTCCTGTGCTGGTTTGTTACACAGAATGGATCCCCATGTCATAGTGCAAATAGTTTCTATAGACTATAACATTACAGCATTAGCACTATAGCATATATTTCAAGGCTAAAACATTAGAGTGTAGCCATAAAGATTTATATGATAAAATAGCTTTAGTAACTTTAATATATATTTGGCTAAAAACTAAATGGCCTTTAAATCATGATTATTTAATTCTGTTTGTTAATGTGCAAAAAAAATCAAAAGTATTTTGTTGAACCCTGACACAGGGAAGAATTGTTTGCTTGTTTAATGCAATGGTCTCTCCCTATATTCGAGCAAACACTAGTGGCAATATGTTTATGCTCTTGGACCATTCTACGAGCAGCAGAGGTGAGTGGGTGGTAAGGGGAGGGTAGTGAAACTGTGTGATACCAGAGACAGGCTTGCCAGAGGATGTCTGCCAGAACCCTGAATTTAAAGGATGCTTTTACTCTCCTTAAAAAAGTAAGAGTAGAACTCCAGGGCCTGATCTTCCATACCCTGAAGACAACATCAATTTTGCAATAAATGTCACTGAGAATATAAGGCCATGGAGGCATTTCCTAGGTATGTCATTTAAATTTCCCAGTAATAAACAGCAGAAAAGCTTTTCGTGTCATAATTTCAGAAAACTTTTATTTGAGAGACACTGCTATTTAACAGAAAACAGTATTCATCTGACAAATTTTTGTTCATGCTTTACTGAGATAAAAAAGCACAATACTTATATCTAATCAATAAAATAAGTACATAGTATGATTTTAAAATTAGAGTGGAAAGAGGCTAAAATTCATTACAGATTACTTTGTTATGCAAAACAATATTCTAAAATGTAATGCAAAATAAATTGTTCTATGTAGAAACATCTGAAACTGTAATTCTTTAATAAAGTTATTTATTATTTACAGTTATTGTTTGGCTTGCTCTACAGCATAAAATGACTTGTACATTATTTATTTTGGGCTGCTTTGAAACACTGTTGTATGTGACACCAGTAGCAATGCAATGAGGGAAAGTATGCCTGTTTCCAGAGGGAAAATATATGCATTTACCACAAAAAAAAAAAAAAAAAAAAAAAAGCTTGCTGGAAAGAGTCAGGAGTACAGAGAGGGCCAGGCTGCTTCAGGATGGCTCTTGGAGTATTCTCTGATATGAAAGACTACGCTCCTGGTGTAATCCTAATAGCGGGGGATTTATTTTTTTTATATATTTGAGAATATTGGTAGACACTATAGCTTCCATAGTATGCCATTGATCCTAACAGCTATCGTATGCATACTCCAAATGTGAGGATTTTTTTCTTTCATGGTGGTGCTCACTAGAGGGAAGCCGTGCAGAGTAACTGCGTCCACTTCACGGGCTGGGATATCCTGTTTGTGTATCTGTAATGCTGATGTAACGGAAACTTCCTTGCTGTTCTAAGTGTTTCGAATTAAAAGATGTGTTCTGCATAAATCATGAAGGTTGTTTGGTTTTTTTTTTTCCCTTTTTCACGCAGTGCTGCCCTACTGTTCTTTTGACAAGGAGCTCAGCTCTGTAGTTGTTTCTAATGAGTGAGGGGTCGCCCAGCCCTTGATAGCGGTTGATGACGACGGTTATCAGTGAGCTCCCGTAGCATAAATCACCGTGTCCAACTCGCTGATTAAAACACTAATGGGCTCAGTCCTAATAATTCGATGGGAGCCCCTTTTCTCTGCGGCGACCCGCTCTGTCTGTGAGGGGCCGGCGGCGTTTCCCGCCTCCGGGGGAAGGCGCATGCGCGGCGCCCCGGAAGCGGCGGCGTCAGGAGGGAGCCATGCTGCGGGCGCTGCCGGCCGGCCTGGCCCGGGGCCGCCTCCGCCAGCGGCAGGTACCGCCCGCCGCCATTTCGTGACGAGGGAAGGTGGGGGGGGGACGACGCGGGCGGCACCGAGGGGCTCGGCGATGCGCGGGAGGGCCGAGCCTTCCCGCGGGCTGTGGGGGCGAACTGAGAGCGGGACGCAAGATGTCGGGTTGTCTGTGGGGGCCGCGCCGGCATCCCTCGTTAGCGAGGCGGAGTGGGGCTGAGGGGAAAGGGGATGGCGGGAGGGAGGGGAGCTGAGGGAGAGGGGATAGCAGGAGAGAGAGGAGCTGAGGGGAAGGGGATGGTGGCGGGGAGGGGAGCTGAGGGGATGGCGGGAAGGAGGGAACGGACCCGTCCTAAAGCACCACATCAGCTGCAGGAAAAGCTGCGGCCACTCGGTCAGATCCACTGCAGTCAAAACGGTGGGTTAGGAAAGTAACGGCCGGGTTTTGAAAGGCGGGACTGGCAAAACTGGACTTAGAGGAGAGGGTTTAGCCTGCTTTCTTTGAGTGCAGCGCAGAGCTCTGAGGTGACCCTGTGGGTTCTTGGAACAGGAGTTTTGCTAGCAGTGACCCATTTGCCATAGAAAAGCGGATTGACTGGAAATTTATTTGCACAGCGAGCTGTGTTTGATCTGCTCCTAGCTAAAACAGCCATCTTCTCTTTCAGTTTCTCCTGAACTTCAGCAGGCACTGTTCTTCAGGAGTCTTTCCCAATGAGAGGATCCGCAACATTGGGATCTCAGCCCACATCGACTCGGGGAAGACGACGTTAACGGAGCGCATCCTCTTCTATACAGGCAGGATAGCACAAATGCATGAGGTCGGTTTTCAGAGAACTCTGGCACAGAGCTGCTCCCTGGGGGCTGAGCGTGCTGGGTGCTGTTGCGACACTGCTGTGACTTGTTTGTCTGCACAGTGTAGTGCATGGGGTGAGGGAGCTATGCTTGGGGGGCCCAGTGAGAGGCTCTTCTGGCCAAGCTGGGGAAGGAGTCTTAAAAATCTGCTGGTTTCCCCGCTACCCCTTTAAAAATAAGTGGAAGGCAAGGGGATAGAAAGTAATCCTTCCTCTGCTGCAACGTTTTTCCTCTTTCAAAGCACTTCAGATCTTATTTTGAGACTTACTGCTCCCTTACCATCTCCCTGGTAAATATACAATGGAAGATACATGTTTCTTGTGATGTAGTTAAAGATGACTGTGAGAAGCAGAGAACATTGAGATGTAATTTTTAGCTTCAGATATGTTCTCTTGTTAAATTCGCAGTGAACCCTAATTTCCCACATTTCTGATAACCTTTCCTGAGGAGAGCAAAATACATTAAAGTTGTAGGTGCAACTGCAAAAAAAAAAAAAATCATCAAACTCATTTGTAGTTCAAGAATTCTAAGCAATTCTCCCATGTCTGCTTCTCTTCACTTCATGAAAGATGATGCAAGGTATATAAAGCATCACTCCTGCACATGCAAAATTCATAGTAAACTCCCTTGGACTAACGTGTTGGGGTTTTTGTGTTTTGTTTTGTTTTGTGATGTGTTTTTTTTTTGTGTGTGTGTGGGTTTTTTTTTTCCTTTTTTTTTTTTCTTTTTTTTTCCCCTAAGGTGAAAGGTAAGGATGGAGTTGGAGCAGTCATGGATTCGATGGAGCTAGAACGACAGCGTGGAATCACAATTCAGTCTGCAGCAACATACACCATGTGGAAAGACACCAACATCAACATCATAGACACACCAGGTAACGACAGTTCTGAACACGTTAAGGTTGCTGTTTCTTAACGTATACAAAGAACATGGTGTTGTCTTTGTGTTTGTTAGTTGCTCAAGTTGAGCTAATGTGGCTCCTTCTGTATAGCTGCAGACTGATTCTGTTGACTGTTCTTTTCTGCATGTACAAGAGAACAGTTTCTCATTACCTGTTGTCAACTATGAATAACAGGGATTTTTTGTTATTCAGGACATGTGGACTTCACAATTGAAGTGGAGAGATCTTTGAGAGTTCTTGATGGAGCTATTCTGGTTCTCTGTGCTGTTGGAGGAGTTCAGTGCCAGACAATGACTGTGAACAGGCAAATGAAACGTTACAGTGTGCCATTTTTAACATTCATCAATAAACTGGACAGATTGGGCTCTAGTCCAACCAGAGCAGTACAACAATTGAGGTATTTATCATTTAAAATGTTTTGTAAAATAATTCTGTACTATTTACATAGGAGGTTAATATTAAGAATATTGAAATGTGTTCTCTTCTGGGGTCTGTAGTCCCAGTTTTGGAGGATAATACCTGACCTGAAGTTAAGGTATATATCTGACCTATAACAAGTCTTCATTTTCTCAAGAAAAAGAAATGTTAGTGTCAGTCCAAGCTTGCAGTGACTGAGAGTTAGAGTTCTGATACTTATTTTGTTGATGGAACTACATTTGGAGCCACTTTGAAAACAGCCTTTTCATTTTTACTACATTCTGGTAGCAAATGTGCTGTAGCTTACAGCAGGGAGATAACCCAGGGTTGGACAGTTTCTAGTTTGGGTACCAGAAGTCCTGCTTTCTCCTTACTTGCGGTCTTTCTGTGCCTAATTGTATCTCACAGATCAATGCATTAATATGCATCAAGGAAGAAGCAACTCCCCTCATCAAGTAATTAATCTGAAACCAGTTTGCACTGCCTTCTTTCCCATGGAAGTCACTCACTATGTCTCTTGGGATATAGAGGGCTGGCGGTCACTCAGGTTAAAATGCAGCTAGGTGGTTTTCATCAATATTGATAGATTTTTGGCACTGTCCAAAGAACAAAACATAGTGATCTTTTAGGAGTGGGGTGTTGTTCAAAGACCATCTGGAGCACATATATATAGAAAAGACTTTTTTCTTGAACTAATTTATATTTGCTCACTCTTTCAGATCCAAGTTAAAACACAACGCAGCTTTTGTTCAGATTCCAATTGGCCTGGAGGGAAACTTTAAAGGAGTTATAGATCTTATTGAGGAAAAAGCTATATATTTTGATGGTGAACTTGGGTAAGTTTTGAAACTTGCATGTTACTTAGCTGGATCTAGTCTTTGTATGAGGAACTACCTTTAGTTTCTCTTCGGAGGTGAAAAAGCCTCCTATTTGGAAAGTTAGGCATGTGGCTTGTGCTGGGGCTGAGGTATCACCTGTCAGCTGTCCAGGTTACAGCAGAATGATGCTGCAGGGTCAGGTTTAGCGATGGGTAGCTGCAATATGAGTTGTTTGCTAACTGCAGTAGTGTGAACGGGTGGTAGCCACGCTTGCCACCCTGAGAAACAGGAGACTTGCTTCATAATGGGAGCTGATAGTGCATGCTTGGCATGAGTTTACTGGAGTGGAGATAAGGTGGGGGCGAGGCTGTTGATATTCTGCATCCTTACAAACTCCTGCCAGGGGTGAGAAGAAACTCCTGCTAAAGCATCAAAGATAACACATTGATACTTACGTGATTTCTCTTCAATATCCACGTCAATGGTGAATTCTTGGTCAGACTGGTTGTCCCGATGATTAATTATTGAAAGGTAGATTCATGTGGTGTTCCTTTAGAGTGGTTATGTTGGTTATGTATGTGTAGCGAGACTCTTCGGTATGACGAAATTCCAGCTGAGTTTAGAGCCGAGGCTGCAGAGAGACGTCGGGAATTGATTGAATGTGTTGCTAACTCGGATGATCAACTTGGGGAGCTGTTTTTGGAAGAAAAGATTCCTACAGCTGCTGACTTAAAGGTAACTTTATTGTGGTGGTTCTTCCTGTAGCACTAACCTTGCTCTTTTGTGTCACTATCCTCCCCCTCCCCCCAGTAAAAAATTCCTTGAAGGCTTGAAGAAATTTTGTTTGCTTGAGTTCTCTTGTATGAGTGTCACCTCCCACAGGTGGACTCCCACTTCATTCCCAGTTGAGGGCCTGTTGCAAATTTGTTTTTTTGGTTTGCATTAGAAAGTCTGAGTTTGTGTGTGCCCTTTAGGAACCAGCAAATGGCTCAAAGGTATCTCTAGTCATTTTTGTCCTTCTGTTGCCTTGCCCATGTTACAGCTTGAAGGCTGTGACTTGCTTCATGTCCCACAGCAAGTCAGTTGTTGAAATGCTGTAAATGCGTAGGAAATCCTGCCTTGTTCGGTGTTTGCAGTGATTACATCTGAAGTGAAAAGAGCAATACACTAGAAGGGAACTGGAATGACTTGACTTGGAGACTCCAGAGGAAAGGAATCCAGGTCAAAATACAGTTTTTTAAAAAAAAAAAAAATTGCATTTCTTGAAAGAGGGGGGAAAATTGATACATGATTTATTTTATTAAATACTTCAGATATCAAGTAGCAAACATGCTAACATAAAAGGATGCTCGCAGAAATAATCGGGTGGCTGTTGACTGAAAATTACTTGTTCTCCTGACAGTTTGGTATCACCATTTTCCTCAAGCACATGCCCACATAAGAAAAGGTGATGGGCAGGCCTGGGAAGATCAGCTGCAGTTGTACAGTGTTTTATAGGTCCTGTCACTGGTTGCTCCAGGATGAGATCCGCTTGTGCGGTTCTGTGGGGGCTGGACAGCAGGCTAACTTCTGTTCCTTCTTTTAGACTGTTTTATGTCAGGCTTGGCAGCCTACACATACCCTAGCGGGTTGTTACGTGGG